GACCCGCAACTCCAAATTCATCCCCATTTCGCCCAACGACCCCATCTTCACCAGTCCCGCCTATACCCGACAAAACCCCAATCGGAACCCCGCTACTCAGGATTTATGCCAGCGGAAAGTACCGCTGAACAAGATAAAACCGCAGTTATTGGAGAAGGAGGGGAAATTGGTGGAGGCTTTTTGTGCGGGGGTTTGGGGGGGTTATGGTATGTTTTGTTGCTTTCAATGTTTTCTATGTGTTTTGTGGGTTGGGGATGGGAGGGGAGAGAGGAGAGGAAGAGGAGTATGGGCACGCAGGAGGGAGAAGGGAAAGATAGAAGATATATAACAAAACAGACGAGAAGTATTAACGAACCATCCCCAGGCTACGCATACCAACGCTCCATTCTCTCCAAAAAATACCAAAACGACACCACAACCGCGCACCAACTCTGGAGCCCCTCCTCCCTCCTAACCTCCACCTACGAGATGGGCACGCAAATAACCGACCACTTTGAAGTCATATCCAAAACCCCCACGTCCATCATCGTACGCTGCGGCGATTCACCATTGAACACTGGGGTTCGAGATAGCGATGGACTTTTTGAGATGAAGGCTGTTATTAATCGGGAAGAGGGAGTTGCGATTTTTGAACTCAAGAGTGTGTTTTTTAAGGGCACGGGGAAGAGTACGGAGAAACCTATGCCGGGGTATGTGGAGTTTGCGCATAGGTTGTATACGAAGTTGTGGATGGAAACGGCGGTGGGGAATTGTGTTATGTGAATGTGAGAGGGGGATGTGGTGAGGTTGGATGAGTGGATGTGTATTGATATGTTTCAAGGACGATTGGTTGGTATTCACAACTTCAGGATTTTGAGAAAGTAGGATGGATATATGGTTGAAAATGCAGAACTAACTAAAATAAGTTCCATTATTGGTTGTGGTGGTATCTATCTAAATTTATCTATCTATTGCTATCCTATACCCATCTTATCTTTAATTTATTTCATCATAAATTTCTCGCTTAAAATCTAAACCTCAAATTCCATCTCTTTCTAAACGCCTACTCTTGATCCATCCAAGATAAAACTCCTTGTAGCCTTTGGTATTCATCCATTCCAAGCTCAGCACTTGAGCATCCATGTATCATATCATTGAACATAACATAACATATCATAACCAATCATCATCGTCAACAACCCGAACTCAATACGTCGAGCTCCTCCTGACATCTCCCGGTTGTCCCGGTGTATATATCGTTGTTCTATGACATGTTAGTACATATATCCACAACCCATTCCGATATAATCTGAGGAGAAGAAAATACTCACGCCCTAGAAGTAAATTCCAAATCCGAATTATCAGCCAACCTAATCGTCCTCACCCTATCCAAATCATCATCACTCTCCCTACTCTCCCTCATCCTCTGAGTTTGATCTGGCGCCCAAGAGATCCACCTCTCAGCCCAACCCCCCCTCTTCTCAATCTCTCCATCTTCATCTGCATCCCCATCTCCACCATCCTCATCCCCGGACCCCTGAACCCCACCCTCCTCTACATCCGTATCCTCTCCCTTCTTCCCTCTCCTCCAACTCCAACTCCAACTCTTCCCAATATGCCTAAAGATATATCCCAACGCCGCAAAAACCAACACCGGAGTCCCCAACGCCACCGCCCAGCTCGGTGTCTGTACATTCCCCAACACAATCCAGAATTGAAGCATGACGCCCAAGATGGCGATGAGGGACCCGACTTGGAGGATCGACCAGAAACCCCAGTAGAGTTGGATGAGATCTTCACCATCACAATATTCGATGTTGAAAGCGGCGAAGACTTCGAGGATGATGGAGATGAGGGCTAGGAGGAAACAGAGGGATACGATGGAGAGGTAGTGGATGCGGCGACGACGGATACGTCGTTTGTGACTAGGGGATGAGTTGGGGGTGGTTTTGAGGAGTTCGGTGAGGTTGTTGGATCTGGGAGGTGTTAGAATGATGGGTGGTTTGGAATTGGAGTAGAAGAATGTAAATATATGATGGCGGTGTCTTGGGTGTTGACACGATAATAGTGTCTCGGATGCTTACTTGTGATGTTGAATAGATGATATGCACATCAATACTAGAACGAAGATAAATAAGGACCAGAATATGATATTGGCCTCAGTCAATGTGATATGTTTGAAGAATCGAGCATAGTGAGCACAGCGAACGGGATCTTTGAGAGTAAATCTACCCGTCATTGTGATTATAAAAGGATGAGAAGACTAGAAGCTGAATTTCGAGGAAAGCTAGTATCTATCGACCAAATAAAGATAGTTTGAATAGTTCCCACGCTTTGAAGAAAAGCACTGGCTTCGAAGGTAGTTATATCAACAATAAGGAGGATCAAAACGGAAGTCACTTGTTGGTCTCCGTTTGGAGGAAATGTACAACTATATCGACGAGAATAAAATAGAACGCCTCAACCGACTTAGAGGGACGTCTCAACTTAATCTGGCGGGACAGAAAAGGCATCAAGCTGAATGTAGCGATACAGAATGACTTTATTTTTTTCGCCCAGACTTATATGTGGATAGCAGTCTTGGTAGTGTCGGTACCCAAATCATCAGGGAGGCCAGAAATTCATGAAATTATGGCAATGAAAGGGGGCAGTGACTATGTTTCAAAGCCTTGGCTTTGTTATCAAGGTAAGAGCTCATGTGTGTATCGGCGAAAGCATTATCTGGGGAGCCGCAGATATAGTACCTTGGCGGGAGATCTGAGTAGATAGTGTATGGTTATTTTGATGAGTATTCCCCGGGTTATTGCTGTTGCATGTGTACGTTTTGATGCTTTTGACTGGCCAAGAGAGGCGAAGTCAAACGCCAAGTGAAAATAGGGTTCGGCCGGAAAATGGAATCTCCATAGTCTTAATTTTTGATTCCTTTCCTGACATTGCTTTTCCAAACGTCACTTTTGAGACTTTAGCTTTTAATCGTTTAATGCTCGGTCGTTTTGGAAGCGTTCTTCTGGTATTGATCGTCGTCGCCGAGGTTACGTCTGATAACGATTGATTGCGAAGCAACGACTGGAATTTGGAATGCTTAGAATCGACTGCTCCTGACGCGTCATCCACTAGGATTTCTACAGCAAGTGTTGCTTTACTTCCTGCAATGTAAAGTAAGACAATACAATGTTGCAGGTATCACAACATTATCTTGCTCAAAGTCTGGACCTTTCCTGTTGCACGTACGGCGACATGACTGTGTATCATCATATAAAGCAAACATGACAAGTATGTCAATACCCCAGATATATTTATCAATTCATCTGACTGCTGCCAAAGGTGGATTTGTATTCTTGGTATAATACCAACGCCTCAAGATTCCAAGACCCCAAAATGCCAAGTCGCGATAACATGGTGTATCTAGAGACAACAGATTTGATTAGTCTTTGAGATCTTCAAGTCCAATAGCCATATCCATAGATAAGGATCATTTTGCTCACATTTAGCACTGTGTGGCACATTGGCGTTACGATGATACAGTACTTTATGGAGATGAATACATCCGGTGAGATTTCGGACAACGACTTTGTTCCCAATCCATGAATCGCGACCCATCTTGGCAGCAATGGGAGCATCCGTAGGTTGGCAATTATGAATGATGTGATGTGATCACTGGCAATTCTTGGGCTTCTTGGTGAAGATTAGATGACCTTCAATTGATCTTCCCAATATATCACATAGTCACCAGTAAAATTCGAGTTGTCATGGACAACATAGATTTCGGCCCTTAGAAGACCTGGAGTGACAAAATGTACACATTCGCGGCGGTGAGGTTTATCAGATGAGATAAATCATTGATTTTTTTGAGATGTTGCATTGAAAAGTAGTGATATATCGGACAGATATTTTTTGGGATGAGATGGGAATTTTCCGCCAGGCTGTGACTGCAGCTTTCCACATGGATTGAGGACCACGTGCTCTAGGAGCCCGCTTTCGTGAGTTACACAAAAATCTTTGGAGCTCGAGTAGGAACTGCCCCGGTATCCAAGAAACATTCATCAATTTACAAGAATTGATTAAACTTCCGGTTGCAACAAGAAGCTCTTGCTTCCTTCCACCCCCATTCCAAAGAGAAGACAAAACCCCTTACCGCTATACGTGGGGGCATGCCAAGATGGAGCTGAAAAATGTCACACAGAAAGCATTTTCAGATTCGTACCCCCCGACTGTATGCTTGTGTCGATCGCAATACTCTATTCTTATTGTCAGCAAGTTTCTTTTCGTTGAATTAGCTTGGGATTCTGATGAGTGGAGATAAACTTGACGTTTCCTCAGGTTGAGACCTAAAATGTGTGAAGAGCTCATATCTGCCAATCAGAGGATATTCAGTCTGTACAACACCGGCATAATCTTTTTGAGTCTTAATTTGAAGAAAAGAAGTCGTCTCCACGGCTGACATGGAACGGTTTTAGCCGTACATTAGCTAGGAGTCTGCTTCTATGATTGGTTCTTCATCATGTTCCCTAGATCCCGTCAACGTCAGCTTCTTACTTCGGCAACGAAGGCAGCTGTTCCGATTCCTTCAATATATGCACGCAATTTCTCGGCATGAGTACACGTTTTTCTATTCGTTCGATAATGATATACAGTCGGAAGTCCTCCGAATCTCACGGAGAGTTTCATGAATTTTTAGGCTTCAATGCTTCACCTGAATCAAATATCAAGCCTCTTTCTTCAACGGTTGTCGTTCTTCCTCGATACAAATTCCAGTATTCAAACATGCAGAATGATGTTGTACATCACTACTATACCACACACTTGGTTTAAGTTTGTCTCACTTTCTCCTTCATGGTAAATACGACCGTCCATTGGTCGATGGCTTGTAAGTGCATGCAAACTCAAGGAGTGTTGGCTGTCAATCTTGCTTCAAGATTCTGAATATGCTGTGTAAGAAAGTCCTTGCCAATACGCTCTTGGCACCGCATATACTGTTGAGCTCGTTCCATATTGGTCGCAAAATTGACGCAGATTGGATCCTTCAGACATTTATGTATGCAGTCAGTCTCCATCTTTGGTCCTAACTGGATCTTGGATGTCTTCAAAGTACATCATATTGCATCATAAATCAATTATCGAAGCCCAATTCTCAAGATATCTTTACGCATAATCTTGGAACCTTGAAGATCGAATATGGGGAACTTTGCACACGATGAACCTACCAACATTTATGGAACAGCAATATCACATATACCAGAACATCCATTTTGGCTTACTATTCTCCGATGCTTCCAACTTGTATGTTTATTGAGATTTTTGGAACTCTCTAAACCTCGAGATCCTGACTCCGAGTAGCTTTTGGCTTTCATCATTCTCATTTTGACAGCATTCGCGTCGACTCAATTTCCATCATTTTTCGTAAGTTCGAATTGATCGATGAAGCTACCACTACTACAATACAATACTAACAATCATTATCACCTAGTTTCCTGGCTATGGTGAGATATAAGCCAAAATTTGACGAACAAATCCTAATGCTAGTAAGGAATGAGCTGGTTTTCGTTCATATGGATGGTGCTGTGTTCGGTTTACGTATGTAATGCATATAACTATCCACCAAGCAAAGATTAGCAACTGATATCATACGCAGGTAGTCATTACGCCCCGGTCGCTTCCAAAGCTCTACAACTATTGGATTCATCTGTTTGTCTTCAACCTCCAGTCCCCGAACTGTGCCGCATAAGCTGATCACTCAAATGCGCCAGGGCTCTAGAAGTTACCCTTGCCATCTTCTACCTTACCACTTTCTCACTTCTGGCATCTGAGATTCCTTTGTGGGATGCCTTTGACAGCAAATTTTGGACTGGAGACCTTGACAAAACGTTGGTCTCGGCAGCTCGCGCATCTAAGGCGGCCGTCGCACTATCAATCGTGCAATTTTTGACACTGCTAGGCTCGATGGGCTTTATCGGTATACTCTCCATCCTCTTTGTATCCCGTAAGCTATAATTTACTAAGCATCCCACAAAGCCTATACCATCTACATTTATCGTGCCAATTCGACCAGCACATCCGCCCACGCTCGACAAATCAACAATCGTTGTCTCTCCCATCACTACAGGACCTCTCCATCGAACCATTCCCCTACAACGGTAAATCCATTTTCTCGCTTAGAAACACCATCGTCTCCTCGACCTGTCTTTTCTCACCAAGACAGACCTATAAGTTTACCAGTTTTACAGGAGCGCCCCGAGATAGGTGGAACGTATAGAATGAGAGAAACCTACGAGAGAAATGCACCAATGCAGAGCCATTACAGAGGTGGAGAGGTAAGAATGGAGGTTCATGGCCATGGTGAGGGAGCGAAGATCGACAGATCCGAAGAGGATGATGAGAGGAGGACTGATTTCTCGCCGGCTTTCGTCTAAGCCGATGGGAGATAATGTATGTCTGTAGGTTTCATGTGGCCGTTGTGATAATCTGGGTGGTTGGATGAAAAGCTTCGATGTATTGCTTACATTGTAATATTAGTTGATGGGTGGGTGGATTTCTGTTAAGCATTAGCAGAGCCTGTGGTAAGAAAAGCTATGGGATAGTGGTTCGATTGATAAACGGAGGGAGGATAATCATTGTTTTTCGCATCTGCTTTGTTCCCTTAATGTAATACTAGGTAGATATCCAATGCGAACTGTTCTTTCCCGGTGACAAACATACTCGAGTACAGTTAATATACAGTCAGTCAATCAAAAACCAAGAGGTTAAGAGCTTCAACAGTCTTCTAAATACATAATACACCTTGAAACCCCCCTCTCTTGAAATCCAAGCCTTAAAGAATCTCCTAATATCATCATCCAATCATAGCCATCCACAGTCCACAGTCACATTTCACCCGAAAATTACAATAGTGAATTATTCTATACATTCCAAAAAATTTTGTTGCATGTCTGAAGAGCCTAGATTACAGGCTTTAACCCTGGACCTTAGAGGAATAGTTACCCTGGTTAGTCTGTGGAAGTAGACAACGGATTTGAATATCCTGGGGAATTACTCGTAGTGTTGTCATTTCTCAGCACTCTAGATTTAACCTAACCTGAATAGAATGATATTCTGAGGTAATATTGGGGCTATGTAGTGGTTCTCTCTCTAGGTATATCGTGCCGTTTGCCGACATGTATATTGTACTGTAACAACCTATCAGCTAAGTGGCTGGATGGTAAACCCTCAGGTACTGACTGGTTTTATTTTCATGCAAAATACATATAAATATACCAAGGTTTTGTAATAAATAAATCCTTTTCTTTCCATTATAATGTGCATTTTAGATTCATAACGCGCTGATAGATTTCAATACGGCGGATTTGGAGTTCATATCAAGGAAAACAGCAGTATAGTAGTATAGTATCGGAGTTAATGTTGAAGTATGTGTTTCGACTTTTTATCAATTAAGTAAGGTTAACAAATGCGCGCCTGAGAGACCAAGGGGCAAAATTGGATTAATTGACGTAGCAAACCATGAAAATATGTATACTGGCTATAAGCAAATTCCACATACCTGGTGGTCTTGGTGTTTGAAGTTTGAAGTGATTGCATATGCCGTCGGATCCGATAGTATAGTCTCGCTTGAAAATACTATGTGTATGTAACCTTACTAGGCTAGGAATGGTATATTAGGTTACGATGGTCAGGTTGTTTATCCGGTTCATGAATCTTCTCTTGGAAAGACAAGACATGGCTCGTTTCAAGAACCGGAAATAAATCTGAAGCCATCGCGATCAGCTTGGTTAATACTAGAGTAATGCATATAAGAATTGTGTGGCAAGGTTATTATGTGAGGAGTTCGGCCCTGATGTTGAGGTAGTCTGTTCCAGTGATCCATGATTTCAAATAGTGGAATATGGACGCATCGTTATGGTAAGGACAAAAGCTATCGTAAAACTATTAGTAGCAGTGGAAAGGTAGTTAAGCAACCTCCAAATCCTTGTGGTTGGGAATAGCTAGATGCTAAAAAGTGATGGTGGTCTTACTAGAATGGATCTACCTGGTTATTTTCCGGCTGTTAGTATTCGATGCGTGATGAATACATAGCAAACAACACAAAACCTCGAAACTTGATAACTCGGACATGATATGGGGGGAATGTAGCCGACTATATACTCATCAATGAAACTCGCATGACCTGAAGACACAGCTGTGAATAATCTGACAGGATATCAAGTAGGTATCTGTCTAATAGCATACAATTGTTCTTACTAACTAATTATCGCCAGGATTTGTTGATACAGATGCTAGGTCAAAGATGGCTAGTCTTTGTCAAACATGCCCGGGGAATTTTGTGTGCTTGAGGTGACGCAAAGTTGGATTTAAACCATGAAAAATCGGGTCTTTATATCAAATGTCTTATCAACGCCTCTGCTGAAGCCAATTTCCTTGATATTTCTTCGGGATTGAGGGCAGAATGCAAAATTACCAGAAAGTATGCAAAACGCTGTACAAAATAGGAGGATATGTTTCTTTGTTTACTATCATGGATGTTATTTGATTTATTTCTTGAGATAGTGATTGTCTTTTGGAATATATGTAAAAAGAAAACGAAGAACATAAGCCAGAATTAAAGAGTGAGGGATTGTATGGACTAATGTCTAGGATAGTAGATAATCGATAGATTGTTAAAGAGATATATAATTCAGGCAATGTTCTAGGGTGTAAAGGTGGTTGTGAATATAGCAGTAGGTAAGTATCAAGGTAGTTTGCCTCACGAAAATCCCTTGTCACGGTATTATAACTTGAAAATATGTCCCCACTTTAGATGGAACACGAATTTTGAATTTGGGAGTATATTAATACGCCGTTTCTCCGCTCACCTTCAGATTAACAAATACAGCAAACATGGTCGACTCAGCGAGCTCAGGATTGTGCAAGTATCTTTGGATTATGTGGTGGTAGGGTAGGTTACTTGATGTTTGGAGTGATACTGAATTCGCATTTTGTCTCACCTTATGGCTGAGATGTGTGATTAGCTTTCTTGGTGATTTAATCACAGTGAAAGTGGTAATAGCCTAATAGGCAAGTGCTAAGTCGACAACCAATGATTCTTCGGTAACGATCAATGCAAATTGTTGTGAGGTTCTCCAGGTTATCAGAACTAACTCACGCTTGTACGTTGATTTCTTTTATAGAATTGAGGCATACTTTCGTAGTAATGATTGGAATCTTAGACTTGTGTTGATCAGTTAGACAGCTGCAGATGGTATTTCTTGTTAGATTTGATGTCTATATATACTGGTACTTAGGTACTTTTGGTTTACAGTGAAAGAAGTGAATCTGTAACTCCATACAGTAGGATATAATCAACAAAATTATAGGCGTGTATTCCCCAGATGGATATAAGAAACTGGCAAGCAATATGCAGCCGCATATAATCAATGCAACAGGATGATACCGCTATTCTTCTCTGCTCGGACTATTCATGAGTTTCAGATGTCAGTCCATCTGACTGAAGATACATTATAAGTTCATGTTCCATATCGAAATTCGAAAGAGTAATTTAATGAGTTATTACTGTCAATTTGATACTTTGAGACAAGTGTTGTCATATCTCAAAAGCGAGTTCTTACTGGTATATATGTGCAGAATTGAAGCTCGAGTGAAGCTTTCACGTTCGAAAGGGTATATGAATATTGAAATCATAAAAATGCAGTCACGTTGCAGAGTTTTTCGATTCAAATGTCTACAGACTCCCATGTAGCCATTTTCTAAAAACTTTCTCGGATACGAGGTAACAAGATTTGACAAAAGAGTGTATTTGTATACTTTACCTTATTCAGAATAAATTAATCATATGCTTGGATCTACGATGGAAAAAGCTTTTGATCGGCAGGATGGAGAATTAGATTAGGAGTATATAAGCTGAGTCCATCTTGTGTGAAATATTGATTACAACAGATTTGTATGCGTATCAGCTACCTAACTTATAAGGTCGGATCTGATATGATTCAGTTTTTGTATTGATCCCCAAAGTCAAGATATTGATGTACTGAGTGCTTGGTGATGCCTATTTAGATTGCATTTTGGATAGTGTTGTTTTTCTCTGACGATACTCGCTTTCTATCATGTAACGATACTGTCGAATCGCTTATCAAGGGAGCTCCAGACCGTTCTTTTGTTGTCCTTTTAATACGTTTGGGGGACCGTTGTCGGTTTCGAGGGGGGCTTGAATTTTGTCTATAGAAGAAGTGTGCTTGAACGATTTGGGGTCGAAGATCCTCAAAAGATGAGGTCTTGAGAGATGGAAGTTGAGTCACGCTAATGCTATCATGGGTACCATAATACACTCGATATATGCGTCTATTTGGTAAGCTCTCTTAGATAGAATGGCGGAAGTGTCACTCAATCAGACTGCTCTTAAATACAATGATATGTGAGAAGTTTTGAAGAGCTCCATCACCTACCTGCAAGCGGCTCAGATTAATACAATGAATTTTAGACTAATTTGTGAGTATATAAGCCTTCTGAGCATTCGTGTATTCAAGGAATGAATAAACTACACAGGAAAAACACGTAGACGCCTTCCAAGTTCTGCGAAGGGTGGTCAGTGGCGTGGTCTTGCCTCAAGCGATTTTTGCATTTTAGTAAGCTAGTACTGAGAGCATAAGTTGAGGCAACATAATACTATTACTTGTTTACGAACTTCTGATAATGAGATTTCTATCGGCAATGATGTCATCGCTGTCAATTTCAATGCTAGTGGTCAATCACAACAAACGTGGTGGAGCGTATGTAGTATTGTGCACCAATGTGTCTTTCTGCATCAGCCCATGCTCTTGACTGAAGTTCGCATGTTTTTCTTGCTTGTGGTATGGTATTCTTCTGTTGTGCGATATATATGTACGAGTCCAGCATGCCGCGAGGCCATGTTATCATGAGGTTCGATCATCTGGGAATCGTTCACAAATTCATTTTCCTGAGAGAAGTCACGGATTAGTGGCGGAGACTCAACGATAATCAGTTTTATTTAAGTGACCTGAAGTGATTTGTCTCGAAGTAATTCGTCTTTCGTTAAGAACAGCTACTAAGTTGAAGCCTCGTCCTTTTATAGAAGATGATTCTGCCATGAACACATAATAAGAGCCATCACCCCTGGTATTATTGGGTGTGCATTGAAATAGATTTCTCCGAATTCCATAGTATCATTTTGATCCACTATCATAAATCTAGAGATTTCACAATTCGCGAAAACGAAGCAGAGGTAAAACAACGATTGAAATCACAAATTTTCTTTACCCGATCAAGCACAGCGTCGACAAATCCGGAAGGATTTTCTTCCGCGCACCAATGTCCTGAGCCAGGGATTAGAGTCGAGGATGTGTTCTCGTATATCTGTTTATTCTGTTGGCTTGCAATAATTGCCAGAAAAATCTTTTCACCCATCAAAGACATGCTTGGTACCTTGCACTTTCCATCCTTGAGCATGCGGAGATTATCTTTAGCATCTTGGTGGAATACGCGGGAGACGTCAAATCCAGACCGCATCCCACCTGGTTGAGCAAATTTGCTTGCATAGTGCTCGACATCGCTTGGTGAGAAAGCCGACACATTGTAACACAAGCGATCATAGAACGACTTGATGTAAATGTATTCTAGACCAGCAGTGAGAGCCTCGGGTAAGTCTGTCTGCCATTGAAAGATGAAATTCCATAGACCTCCAGTGACGCCATATTTGACAGCATTATCACAGGCGTCTGTTCCTTGGAAGGAGGCATTCTCCCCATGCGATAGATGCTGTATCGTTGGGGAACTGAGCTACATATGCATGGGTGATCATGCCGCCGATATCATGCCCGACTACGTGAACTTTGTCTTTGATACCCAGATCTCTTTGAAGGATATCATGAAGATCGTTTGCCATTTGGATCTTCTAGTACCCATCTCGAAGATGAGGTGACGTTGGCTGGAGGATGGCATAAGATATAGTGGATCGTAACTTCGGATGGAGAAGAAGGTGTTCCTGAGAGGTTTGCACGATGGGAAGTCCAGCGAGAACGATCAATCATTTGTAAAGATGTCATGTTGGGATGATTTGAGTAAATTTTACGTCGTTGTGATTCTTTTTGTGAGCACAAATTATGAATGGAATCATCCTTAGATATGTTCGCGTGGGAGGTCCAACTCCGTCATTACCACGCATATCCCGAGCAGTTGTCCAGTCGGGAACGAGCCGACGGAAATTACCCACGGAACCCCATGGGTCGGGTACATGCCCCTGATCTTCGCTAGGGTATTAAATCATTCTACGGGTCATTGTCCATCAATTTTACTTTTTATAGTTTGAGGCTCGAAATTCGTAGGTATTTGAATATCGTTAATCTGAGTAATTCCATGTTTCGTCCGACGATTAGGACTAAAAAGATTGAATGACTCTTGAAATTGTTTACGTCTTCCAATTTGATTTCAAATTCAGTCTTAGATTCTTAACCTCAATTTTATATCTCATCCCCAAAGCAAGTCTTCAAGGCTCTACACGGAGATTGATAAGGAATTATGGTTCTATTAACCAGACGGGACCGAGGACGTGATTGCACAGCTCTAGCCAGCAAGTTTGGACGATATTTCTGAAAGTTGGTCTGTTCCCAGCCATTACCCGCATTCTTCTCTTCTTATCGCCTAATTTAAGGAGGACTGAGCCTTACATTGTGTGGTCGTTCTCAGTCACTTAATCCCATAGATTTCAAAACTTGGTTAGATGGGATACTTACCCTCCCAGCAAGCTCTTCAATAATCGTTTTATTTGGAGCATCGAAACTAATATAGATCCAATTGACCGCAGTATGGACTTCTGACAAATTAATTTCACCGCCTCACCTAGTATATCTTCAAGTATAGTTAGAAATTAAGTATAGATACCTCCTAATCTCCTGTACCCCGATAATCACGAGTCATCGGAAATGTTACTGTTTTCTAAATATGGATCTCATTGCAACACGCGCTTGCGTAGCAATCTTCTTGAATTCATGATCTATTCGCGGTTGAGATTTTGTTGATACTTGGCATATTAGGCGTTAATAAATGGATGTGAATGGCAGTAATAGAGTCCAGACTTTAGTTTCGACAATCAGATTGAATACTCGATATAACTATAATATATTCTGCCATAGTACTACTAGGATGAGAAAACCGCCGGGTAAATACTGTAGTTGGTATTGAGCTGTTTGTACTGAATAGGTTCACCTCAGTTATCATGCCTTGCCCTCCACAAGTCCCCATAATGAGCATCTATTTCGTTGGAATATTGTGACTTGTTAGATGATGGGATGATTGTAATGATATGCTTGATGATCTAGAAGCGATTGAAATGGATGCGGATATTTTTGACGGGGTATTCAGGACGTATCACGACGAGTATCAGATTATATTCACTAATCTTGAAGTGTTATGTAGACAGATATAAGTGCTGCCCTCGCAAGTATCTTATTAGTAGTTCAGATACGAGGAGAATCGGATGAGCTCCATCAAGGGTGGGCCACTCACAGCCGACATGATTTTGGCTGCATTAGAGAGAACCTTTTCACGGGATTGAGGAGTCAAACGATTAGCTAGAACGTCTTTGCGTGAAAACGTTCTATCTTCACTATCTCATATCATCACTATCACCTCCTTCGCATCTCTGTCACTAAAAACATCTAAAATTCACCGCTCGAATGCGTTGGCGTCCATTAAATTCTTCACATTTCTTCTGCTAAATAATTAGACATATCGAGCCAGAAAACGAGCTGTCGATACCAAAAACCTTTTCCTCAACTACGACAAGACCTTACAACACCAATTAGCTTCATATAATTGTCATGGTTCCCTCTCAGAGTAAGTCATGATACTTCTGTAGGCTTTAAACTCGCTATTTATAGGCCTGAAGCTGCCGTGACATCTGAGCTCTGTCTAAAGTGACTCATGGTAAGAGTTACTCATTTTACAGGTATAAATTAATAGCGAATCGATGAGAAGTCTGCAACAGGATTGGATAAACTGTGATAGAAAAGACTCAATGGAACTCTGGTATCTGCTGGGAATGACGGGGTGGTGGAGTAATGTGCTGAGTGGTCAGCAGGTAGAGTTTTTTTGACTTCATGTTTGGGGCGTGAAGGCCATGAAGTGTACAAATAATTGCCATTTCTTTTTGCCATTTCTTTTGTTATCAGCCCAATTCATATCATCATCAAAGCATAGCTATTATACTACGAGTAAACCAAAATATCACAATAAGTACCAGTGAACCATTACACAAGAATGATATTTCATCTCATGATCCATGATTTGTTACCCAACAATAAAAGAAAATCATCTCATCTCTGCACATTTCGATATTTTGCATATCGTTTCATTTTATCAATATAGACTTACAGAACATAGACTACACGGTGTATATATACTCCAGTCGATCCAAGTTGCGGGTACTCGTATAGACGTCAAAATTGGACATGACACAATATCGTGACCGGAGATTTAGCATTAGTTTGTCCATTCTACTTTGTCTTGATACAGATGTTCTGTGAGATCCACACAAATCCAAAACCATTCCCAATATGGATAGCGTCTATCCCGTATCCTTATGAAACTATAAAGTTCGTATAAGAAGATACAGTTGCAAACTAAGACGGCAAAAAAACATGAATGGGAAGATTTTTTCATGGTCTACACAAGCCTGTTTTATCTTTCGCCGCAGCATGAATATTATCTTGATATAGAATCAAATATACTCGAGTAGAGAAAGCCGTGAAGTATGTGAGTTTGCTATTGGATACAAATTTGCAGAAGTATGAATGACAGTAATGAGGCTGGTTATGAGGGCAATACTCAAAAGACGAGACGATTAATATTCGGGATGAAAGTGATAGCGACGTTACATTTTTTATTTTTTATAGGAGACAACAGTTGTGGGGGAAAAGTCGAGTCTACAATAAATATCTTTTTTGGCGACTAGAGTTGGGCGCTTTACATAAATTAGGGCTGGGTTACGTATAAAGCCTAATCACACCTTGCTGCGTCATTATTCGCTTTATTTTTATGATGATATTGTGTCACGTATAGAATCTGAAGTTATTCGGAGATTTATACTTCAATATATCAATAAACAACGAATCTTGAATTATGGGCCTACTAGTATAGGGAGTAAATAGATAGGGTCAAATGAGGGTGCCCCCGGGGAGTAATAATCATCGATTATTACTAAGAAGGTATACCTTGATTGGACTAATAATTAGCCTCCTTCACTCTATAACTAGTATATAAATGATATGTCGTAATAATATAAACTACATTATTATATCACGTAAATCGAGCTGCGTTATTTTACGTGATAAAATTAAGTTTTTCCCAATCCCACTGGCGACTCAAACGGGCGTTTGGGAGTGGTTATAAGTCAAGTATAATATGTAAGAAATTACGAAATGTTCACAATATTTGTCCGAGGAAGCAGTCGGAGAAAGCTCATCACATCAGATAGCAATTAATAGTCAGCTCTCCATGGAACAGCCGCCACATTCCCAGTCGGGGAAAACAATTGTCCCCTCAGACTGTAAACGATTATCCCTTTTCGAATAGTGTATATTTGTTAGGAAAGATTACTGAATAACTCGAGTATAATATTAAAATGTTTGCTAGAAATGATTTTATTTGGATGTTCAGAATAAGTACTCGAATATATACCCTATATAATAGGAAAAGAATAATCGTTTACAATGGACAATCGCTTTCCCTGACTAGGAACCAGGTGGCTGTTCCATGGAGAGCCGACTATTAGATCCGATAGCTTCCCGCACTTTCTAGGATCACTTATGTACTCGTATATAAAGCGAAGTATCGTGACCAGTACTCGTATCTGCCCGAACTATGGCGTAAAGTTTTCCTTCCCTAATATGTCTGTGGATGTGTATTTTGTATATCCACAAATACAATACTAGGAAAATAATGGAAGGACTATCATCCCCCATAAATTCCGCGTAAACTTCACGAAATGTTCATGGTGTTGATTATAATCCATTAACAATGACTAAATGAGTATGAATAGATGATACAGTGGCATTGCAACAAAAAAACACTAACAATAACAGACAATATTTCGGGCATGTAATGACATCGATAACACGAGTAGGCTTCTTTAGTATCGGCATCGTTATACCTGATTAGTTTGCGAGCTCTTTTCTGCGTCTGGTCGAATCCCGGGGAGGCATGCCAGTGTATTGTCTTGCTACATCCCTATCTTGTTGGTTGTCAGTACAAGAATAGCAACCACTTGATTGTTTTATAGGAGGATATAAATCATCGATTGCACGATCGTAGTATGCAACTTGAATACCGGTATGTCAAAATATTCTATTGATTCCCTGTTCTAATCCCCATATATGTGATGTGAGTTTCCATTCTATCTATAACTGCACCCCGAGAAACGTACCAATTACTTTACCCCGCAACCGCAACCCCATTCTATACTATTATTAATTCCATAAGCCAATCCTACTCACAACTTCTTATAAATCCCGCTGTGATCACGAGGCAGTAAACTCGCATGCATCTGCCTTGCCTCACCTGCCTGCATCATCAATGGGAAGATATCACTCCCACTAATCAACAAGCTCTTTCCTCCCGCCATTGCTAGCTTAGCATCTAGCGAGAAACCCATGGCCATTCCACTGGAAGGCTTATCATGTTTCGCCAGAGTTGACTCATACAGGGCAACCGCATCAGTCCACTCCTTTTCCTCGCCCCACATATTAGGCAAACCCATACTGACACGCGCATCCAACGATCCGAGCCAGACAGAATCAATGTGCTCACCGCACTCAGTGAGGATGGCGTCGAGATTATGAATCGCCTCAAGAGTTTCAATTTGGATGATAATGGCGGCTTGGTTGTTGACATTTTCCCAGATAGATTTGGTGGGATCGATGGAGGTATCGGAAATACCCATTAAGAAGCGAGCTGGAGGAGCCGAGCGAGTACCGTTGCGTACGGCGCCAAATTTGGCCGCAGAAACGATAGCTTTGGCTTCTTCGACGGTACCGACTTGTGGGACGAGAATAGAGGCTCCGGCATCCAAAGCATAGCCTATATTTGCGTGATCATGGCCTGGAACACTGTGATATTCATTAGAATAGTCGTATAAATGTAGGGTGGCTACTTACCGAACAATGGCAAAACTCTTGCCTTCACTCATGAACTGAACATCTTGGACCATTTGTGTCATGGTTTCGACGCTCATTGATGTATGTTCCCAATCAATCCATACACAGTCGTAGCCCAGCTGAGCTGCTACTTTGGCAATGGGTGGAGAAGGTAAACCGATGAAAAATCCAATGAGAGGTGCTATCTTTCCATCGTGAGCATCGCGGATGGCGTCACGTGCTCTATGAGGTTGTAGAAGGGAAGGGGCTCTGTATGCTAGGACACCTTGATGGGGCTCGGAGTTATCCCCATTTGATAAACTGGCGATGAGGGCATTCATGGTGAAGTTTGTGTATTTTCGGTTTTTGAAAAGCTGGTGATGATTGTGAGTGCAGTATGGTTGAATTGATGTGGAGTGTATAAGTATTGAACTTTGAAGAGACTTGTCTCAACCTTTTATACCATTCCATTCACCAGGTACGTTCATCGTATAGTTGGTCATCATCGTCTGTCTGGTTGGCGTCAAGAGGTTCCTGCATCAATTCCTTTCCGCCGTCTATCTGGTGGTTTCTGAATGTTATTGACGTACTCCTTATGATGAACCCATATTAATATGCAAGTGCTTACCAGAATACTCGTTCCGAGCAGGCTGAATGTTTACAAGTCAAGTAGCATCTGTAGGGCGCCAGATCCTTGAATTCAGGGTCTGATCCGCTATATAGCGGGGTAAAGACCCTGATTTGATATACAGGTACTAGCAGTTGTTGATATTACTTAGATAAGTGCTTAGTATAGCATATACGTTAGATCAAAAACGATACCGGAAATTGAATCAAATTCTGTATATTTCAACTCAAAATAGTATAGCTGCTGATCAGGTGAAGGATTCCTCCCAATAGGAATACGTTTATCCCTGCATAGTGAAACCGAATTCTCCAAAAGTATACGGCAGTACCAGTAAGACAGCGTACAAGTGATTTGTTATTTCATTACGAAGTGTATGCTGTATATTTATTACTCTACTCAGTAGAAGGGGAATTAGTCAATTGCATTCGCCCCCTAATCAATAGGACATAAAGCGCTATGTATCGCCTAAACCCTATTTGATACCGCAACGGAACTTTATACCACCCGAGTCTCTTATTGTCGTCCAGCTTTGCAACGACATAAACTTTGATAATCATGATCATATTCCACCGCCAAGACAAGGAAACATTGAGCATCTGTCTGTATAGCAGTGTACGCATCTCTGGATACGTTTCTTTGCATCTTGATTGAGCCAAGAAAAAGAGCTCTCCGTACATATACCACGAGATTACAAAACAACAATCTCTCGGGATTTTAAGAGGTACCGGTACCGGTACTGATCGTATCTCAAGCAAATCATATGTGGCTGGAACAATAGCGGACAGAAATTGAAGACATGGCTTATTAACTCCGTTCTCCGGACCCCATGTCCCAGTTACGCTTCAATGGCCTAAGCTAAGTTGAAGCTTTAAGGAACATGGAGAGCCAAAGAATCCCGGCGCCCGTGAGTGGATTATAGCTCCATCTCCATGCAAATCTATTTTTGACCCTGGCTTTTTGGGAAGATGGATGTAGAGCATACGGGTAGGTTCACTTCGGCCGAAAATGGGTATTATACTTTCTTTGTTCATGGTTTACCGGGGTTAATGCAGGAACAAGTGCGGATAATTACTTATTTCCGTGCAGGTGGAAATGTGTTTGATACTCTCGGCTGTCATTTTCGAGAGGAAAGCATAAGCAGTGCTTCGTATGACAAGTTTCTGTGAGATTTTGACTCGCGCAAATCACCGGACATACAGTATTTGAAATTCACATCTTTTCAGATACTGAGACCTTTCGGGTCTGGACTTTCCAAGAACGTTTGATACCATTATGATGCGCTGTCATTCTCACGCGCTAGCTGAGTGATAACTGATGAAAGATCTCATCTCACACATGGTCTATTTCCTCCTCTTAGTGCTGAATTTCTGAGGAGGTCATCACAATGTGGATTTATTATTCCCATTATCCTTTCAATAATCTGTGTTTGTTAAACATCAGTAAGCGGAAGAATAGTAGGATGATTTGTTTCCCACGTAGAAAGACGAAGCATCACCACTGTATCCAATAGTTTGGACTGCAGTGTACATGATTTGATTTGAAGCTTTCAACATACAAGAAGCCACGAGTTCGCAAGAACATACCAACCGAGATGTTCCAAGTAATCTGTGACGTTAAAAGATCTAAGATTTCGATGAATCTCCGAGTCTATACAGAAATCCAAAAACAGTCAGCAACAAAACTCAGGGAATCAAGAGCTTTTCATTGTTGGATTGCGCCCGAATTATTCTATTCGCCTTGGTTTAAATAGAAGATTCAAACTTTTGAAACACAGGGCATGAGACGGAACGACGGAAATGTTATCATGTCGATGGACAAACACAGTTTTGATATTACCAACAGTCAATCAAGTGTGACGGTAGAAATCAAGACGTGGTTACAAGGTCTCACCTCTTCGCAGTAGAAAACCAATTCCACTGGAAACTCATAAATACAGTATTCAGAGACTTTGATATTAGATCTTGACTCTTGTTTACCAAAGTAATGAGTAAAGCTGATTGGAATCTAACATTTCAATTTAACCGCGGCTAGCCAGTGGGCTAGATCTGCTCATAGCAAAGATCTGTATTCATTGGGTATACTTCGATAGCTTCTTTACAGACGAGTTTCAGTGCGCTTCGTAGGATCTCACTAGTCTTGTTGACTGTAGCTTTATGAAGATTTCTGACAGCAATACTCACTCCATCGATGACAGACAGCGATAGCGCACCAGTGAGAGTGACAATATTCTCGGCATCGAAAATATTATTGTCACTCACTGACAACAACATCTCTCAACATATGTAAATAGACTGAAATCCCAACTTTTCAAGAAATATCTCTCAAGTTCTTCGAATCTTCCCATGATACTCAAATAGATGAATATAAAGGGGTCTACAAAAAGAATCCATATTAGCAAAAGATTACCTCTATTTATCCTACTGCAACCATTTTCTCTCTCGGATCTAGGTCTAGGTGCAGTCCTGACTAATCTATTATCTCCAGAACGTTCTTCAGCAGGAAATTATATAAAGATCCCCTAAAGCATGCCTGAATCCTCAACACAATAGCCATAAACCTAATCGGAGATTGATCAAGGGGAAAATATTTCTTTTTTCTAGGAATTTTACATCTTTGTGAACCTTACGCAGACTATTATCGCTCTGTTAGGGGAGAAAAATACTATACTTGTAGTAGTGTATTATTGTACTGGCTGGTAGTGATAGTACTCATGTATATAACTCCACGAAATGGCAACCAAAAGTTTATACTCATACATGACTTAATCTTAACACAAGCGAAGAAGGGGGACAGGGACAGTGAAAGCTACTGTGCCTTGCTCAAATATATCGATCATATACTCAGTAATGTATGGCCATGTCACAAGAAAGTTAGGATAGAGCGAATTCCAGGAGGGTTCTAGATCTCTCTTGTGCTGTTGGTGCAGGCAGGTATACTGCGAATGTGCTTTGGAATATATTGGAGTTGCTTCAGGTTCTCAATTTAGATATACATATGAATATAGAGAAAACCTGTTACCTGTAAGAACTAGGGTCAGGGAGGAGTTGAGGTGAAGAGATTATAAGTTTGGTGGTGGGAGCTGATATATCTATCGTACGTGTGGAAATGTGAGAAGTAGATCTGGGAGTTTATTATAGGATAATGAGAATATTGTGTTAGGGAATTCCACCATCTAGTCAGTGCTGTGGGTGTTTTGAGTGTTGTGGGTGTTCCAGTTGTATATATATATATATATATCCCTTCGGGATATGTGAGGTATAATCAAATAAAATAAATATAGTTCCAACTTCCAAGTTATATCCCAAATTACATTCCGAGAAATACTCCTCAGTACATCAACTGCCTTCTACTCTATTCCTTATAGTAAGTAGTATGCTGGTTATCGAACTTGAACGCTTTTGGATATGTAACTATATAGTATCATGAACTTTAAACCCCAAGGCATGTAAACATTCCAATGCATGGATTACTGGGAGAATTGTTCAGATCAACCTTGAACGCCTTTACTCGAGATAAGTATCTTTTGCTTTGAACGTTAGTTGTGGAAACAGAAGGAGACATATATATGGATAAAGTACATGTATATTGATGAAGCTATGTTTGTATAGGTTTGTGTCTATATCATTAATGATAGATATATATCAATAGGACATTTGCAAGTTAGTGCCAGTGTTGTAATTATTGTAATTATCATAATCAAAGATAGTAATACAAAAAACAATACAATTAAGCATCACCGAAAATCTGTAACCATAAAGATCCCATCCCATCCCAAATAAGATTGGACTCCTCACCAGCCATTCCCGATTCACATCACTCATTCCTCATCCCTTATTCCGAACACTTCCCATCCCCTCACTGCTCTTAGACTCAGAGACCCTGCTATCTCATGATTCTCATCCCACCTAGCATATACATATACATCCTTCGCAATTTCTGCAACTTGAATCCCTCTACTTCATCATCTATCAACTGCCAACTGCCAACTGCCAACTGCCAACTGCCGACTTTCAACTATCAACTTACCTCGCCAAGCACCTTTGGCTCTTACCTCTGCTAATTACCTATTACCTGTTACCCAATACCCCAACCTCCCGCTTTACATCTAATTATCTTCCAATTTCCATTGAACGCAAAGTCTCAAACTTCTCCCATACCCCCAACCTCCCCCCAAAAAGATATTGAGAAAGTTCTTGAATCATAATGTTATAAAATAGGGGCTAGAAAGGGATATCGAGGAATATAAATATAAATATCAATATAAAAGATATAGAGATTTAGACTTATACTAGAAAAGAGGATTTAGAAGAAATGTTCTATTTATGTAATAAATATACTAATTAGTTAGGGGAATATGAAAGGGTAAGGTTTTATATATATACGTAGTAGTACCGAAAAGGTACTTGAGTACCTAGTGTATAATTACTTGTCTGTTTGTATAGAAAGATAGAATAAAGAACTCTGGAGAGAGAGGGAGGAATAAATACTCGTATAAGTAGGGGATATTCTTGAATTTAGTTTGATTAGTTTGAGTGGAAAAGAACAATTCATAAGACTAGTGGGGGTTTGAGGAATCGAGTATGGGAAATCCCAAGTATTTAGCTTGTAAATAGGTATAGGTACCTAGGTATGAAAAGAAAATTGGCAGAGAGCCAATACCTGCTCCAGTATGTATTTTGAAATGAAATGAAACAGCTTTCAAGTACATAGGCTTCGATGGTTTACTCATCCTCATCCCTTAGACAGAAATTTCCCAACTGCAAATTCACACACAACTATAGATATTTATAGAGGCTTGTTTGAAATCACAACAGAGGAAACTTTAACCTGTGACATATATGTTGCTTCGAGTAGCTTGAGATGGTTCTGTTCTCTTGGTATTTGAAGGTTCCTTCCTGTGTGTTTCTCATCATAACTTGTTCCTCTAATTATATATACTCAGAGCATATTGATAGGGAAGCATAACCTAGTAGATGTGAAAATAAAAATGAAAATAAAAATGTATCAGATATTGACATGTGTACTTGGAGCAGATGCTGGAAGCAGTAGACTACAGCATGCTACTGTAGTGAAGGAATGGAGATAGAACCCAAAATAGAAATAGGAAATGACGACAGCAGTTTTGGTCAATGCAAGTTATGCAACACACAGATCAACTTTATGCCTTCTTCCTGAATTGGGGCTGTTCTGCAACGGCCTAAAGAAGTGAATCAAGTGAATCGAGTGATTGACACATGAAAGCAAACAAACAAACCAACATCCACAAAGGTTCGAAGAGATATCATATAAATGAGAACAGAATATAGCAACAACTCCATAATCCGGGTATCAAAAACTATGTAGCCTCATAAATCGTGACATCAAATGGACCTACTCATCCCCTTCATGCTCAAAACCAGTATCCGGGAGATCATCTCAGCAATCCTCCCAAATCCCTTTCCATCCCGGTGACCCTCTCTTCCAATGCTCTCTTATTTCTCTCCAACTCCCTAATCTCCTGCTCCTCCCTCTTCAAATCCTCATCCGTAACCTCTATCTCCGACGGTTCCTCCATCTCCTGCTGGATCTCCTCCCCACCACTCTCAAATTCATCCACTCTATTCATCTTCTCCAATTCTCTCGTCTGTTTCTGCACTTTCTGTTCATGTCTCTTCACACTCTCCTTCAACTGCGCATACCTATTCCTCAAACCCCTTATCCTCTCCGGAACCCCTTGAACCGGATACACTGCATTTAATTTCTCCGCCCCCTTCAACAAAACCCCTACATCAATTTCTCCCCTCCCACTCTCCGTTTTGCGCACCTGCGAATGTAATTCTGCGCCAAGAACAGCAGCAACAGCAGTATTGCGCCTGGGCGCCCGACCGTTGGGTCCAGATGCAGGAGCTACTTCGCCAGATGTTACGTTGAAGACGGTTTGCCGGCGGGAAGAAGAAGATTTGGGTTCCGGAGCGATGTTGGTTGGGGGTGGTGGGGGTGGAGGAACGGAGAAGAGGGCGCGTTCGTGTGGTTCGGTGTCGCGGATTAGGGCGGTGATATCTTGGTTTGAGAGGAGGGCATTGGTGAAGATTTGAGGGGGGGGAAAGCTGGTGGGTAGTGGGGTTAGCGGATAGGTTTGAATGAAGAGGATATGGTACTTGCGGTAATGAAGCTATTGAATCTGCTGAGAGTGCAATTTGTTCTAGATGTCTTTCGAGTAGAGACATTGTGATGGTTCTTGCTTGAGGTTGTGTTGTGTAGGTTATTAATGTTGAATGTTGAAAGTCAATATTTACTTGAGTACAACCGGAATAGAATATTGGCAAGGGTTTTGGGACGCGGGACAAGGATACCGGCCAGTAGGATACCGGCCGGTACTTTTTCCATTTCAGATTAGACGATAAGCCCGATGGCCGGCTTAGATTAACGTTCACCCCTTGCTTCTGGTTACTGGTCACATGTCCTGTCATGCACTCACTTCTCTTTACTCACGAATCAGATCTTGACTTTTCTTCGCTTTCCAATACAAATCCATCTTCTTATTGCTCATATTATACCGCAACATGCATGATGTACCGGTATTGTTTTTGTATCTTTTTGTATCTTTTGTTCTATCACCCTCATTCTCTAACTCTCCCACCTTTTTTTTTTTTGGAGAAGTTCCCTCGATCGATTGAACAACGCATTCTTCACTTAATTTGAACCAACAATGCCAATTGGTAGAGATACAATCGTTCCAGCATGAGAGATGCATTGTTTGCATATTACCCTGGGTTGTTTTCGTCTTCTCTGCTACATATATTCTTTTTCGTGATATCTTTCAAGTTTATTTACTCCTTGAATTTTGTTGCCTTTTCTCTTTCTTCTCTCAATCTCTCAATTCTGCTTATTATTATATTACTTTCCCATTACTGACAACACATCGCAACACCATTGCAACGCCATTACCATTAATAAGCTATTCACATTCACTCCATTCACTTTTTTAGAGGATTCGATGTGAGTTTCCGAATGCTTCATGAAAGGGAATTTTGCTTTTTCATGCTTGGAAATCACCAAAAACTTGCCATCCATCATCTATTCATCCAATATAAGCTTTCCCCAGGAGCCACCATACTCGAGTACATGCACACGCACATATTCATATTCAAACACTCACTCCAATCAACTGACCCCATATTCAATCACTGGTCGATTGGCGGTATTGACCATTGACGACTCGCCGCCCACTACTCATTACCTACAGATACTACTCACTACTACGAGTACAGTACTATCATTGAACTACTCAGTAAAGCACAAAAGAAAAAGCAACTCACTCCCTCTCACTCACTCACTCACTCTTACATTGCATTGATAAACAAGGTTATTCCTTGATGATTTCTGCCCAATACCTATAGGCCGATTGATATCACCGAGTTGTCCATATATCTCTTATCTTGCTTTAATATTGTGGGCTCGCTTTCTCCCTTTCCCTCCTTCATTACAACCTCATTCTCAATTTGAGGTTTACCCGAACATTCGGGTCGAGCGAGCATTTGATTTTCACCCCCCAACTGGTTACCAACACAACCTTTTTTCCCTAGGGTGTGTTGATCTTCGGTATCGGTGTGGTGTGGTGTGGAGACAGAGACGCATAAAACACACACTTTTCCTCGAATACCCGGCATTCCTTGAAATATTATTTTTGAGGATTTTCTGATATACCTCTCTATTCCTCGTACGCCTTATCCTCAACACTTCGAAACAAGTTTGGCCCCCTTCTCATCTCTCTACTGCTTTAGACAAAGATCTCAGTTCAATTGACCCATATTCAATTTATTTTTACGATTGAAATGGATATTTATCATTGGTCGCCTTGTTTACCTAGATGTACAAGCAAGTTACGCTGACCCTTGTATCTTCAATCAGAACCTCGTCCCTCAGATCCCTAGTTTCCAGCTCTGAGACCGGACCGGACTCCTTTCTTGACTTTTGACGTTTAACGAACTTGAAAGCCCCGAATCTCTAATTGCGAGGCTCATTGGCGCCCCAAGCTCATCTAGAGATTATCATGAACTGTGATCCTCCAGATCTTCCTTCTCCTACTAGGAGAGATTTACCACAAGCTCTTACACCTTGACCTCAATTGCAATATACACATTATCTGCTCGAATACATTAAGTCAAGCAACCATAAGATCACACTTGCCAAAAATGCGGCCCACAACTCCCAACTTCAATTTCGCACAAAGTGTCGGCCCTTCATCACCACCCGAGACACCGACTCACTCAACCTTTACATTCGCGACTCAACGACAAACAATGAACTTTGCTCGTTCCTCTCCTAAACCAAATGGGATCATACCTAATGGCCCGGGATCCCCCTTCAACTACAACCGACCTGAAGACCTATCCCCACGATCCACCTCTCCCTCCTCTGAATCCTCGGGCAGCGCAAGTCCACCTCGATCAGAAAGTTCTCAATATCCACATTCACCTCTCTCGTCGCCTATGCGCAGACCATCGCGGATAGTGGATAAGGGCAACTTCACACTGGAGGAAATTACAGACAGCGATCTCGAAAACTACGATTGCGATGAAGAAACCATCATACGGCCCCACCAATACGAAGACGCCGAGCCCGATCGAGGACACATTGCGCCCGCATCTACGCCAACAGAACTTGATCCGCATTTCTTGGATGATCTCCGCGATCTCACCGCACACGACTGCACAGAGGCTTTCAATAACGAAGATCAAGATGGCTCGCCATTGGACGAGCATGAAGCTTGGGTACAACGAAATCGGGAGGAAAGGCGGCGTCGACGTCGCAGTTCAGCTACTGTACAAAAACGCTCATTGGCGCAAAGTATTGGCAGTGATACGGACGATGAGGATTTACAGCCGGATCATCTAAGCGCCAATGAGGCGGGATCTAGTGCCAGGAGACTACGAAGGAAAACCTTCAATTACGGGGGTGATCGGAGGGCGAGTCTCATTTTTGACGATCCAACCCCTCGGATTCCAGAATTGGAAGAACCGGACAGTTGCGAGGAAGTAATTGAAGATGATACCGAGTTGGATGATTTAAGACAGTTACCATATTATGTCTTGCAGGAAAGTATGGATATTGACTCTTCCTCTTGAGAAAAGTTTATATCTAGGATTAAGCATGTTTGGAAGACGATTGATGAAGGGGTGACTATAGGTGGATTTTGAAACTGGATCTCGATTTGACGAATTATGAATGAGCGATTCATTGCATGAAGGAACGATACATTATGACGGTGGCATATTGCTTTTTACATTTTTGAGCGAGAAAGTTCTTAACGGGTGGATTCTTGCGTTTGGTTTCATAGATGATATAGCATTGCATAGCGGATGTAAGGATAGCAGCAAAATTGGCTGGTAGTTAGCCTGTGAACCTGGATTGGAACTCATGGTTTCGAGTTTTTGGGTTATTTATAGAGTGGGGATGAAACTATTGCTGGAGAGGATATAGGAGAATACAAATAGATATACCTTTTATTGGCTTGTGTGTTTGTGGCTTTCATGCCTGCTTTTGTGGATTCATGCATGTCTTGATAGCAAATATAGATTTGAGAATTGGGTAAGGATTAGTTGATCCTTGATATCTTGATGGTATTCAGGTGTTTGAAGTGTTTGAAGGATGAGTATTGAGAATTGCGCATTGATAAACAGCTTGATAGATAGAATTTGGGACATAGTTGCTACAATGTGGGATGGTTCAATATTGAGCTTAGAATGTCATATGTAGTGGAGGACGATGTAAAGACTTCTCTGGGATAAACTTGAACTTCATAGGCCATTTGAGGTTTGAGATATTTGAGAGCTTTGAAAAACATGTAATATAATGAATTCGATGAGGAACACCCCTTCACAGGGGGTGGAGTATAATTGAATAGCCAGAACCTGATGTTAGTGAGTACAAGGTCAATTAAATCTGATGGTCTGATGGATTTGAAAAGGGGTCATGACTGATATTCAAGAAGATAGAGTGAATGTAAATGCAAAAATGAAGTGTCCTGTCCTGTGGAAGGAGGACTATCAATTTGAAGGGTATAATTAGTTTTAATTGTAACTTTGGTATTAGATTAGAATGACAGCCCCTATCTCTAGTGTTATGTGTACCAATGAATAGTGTTTCCAATGAGTGTCTAGATGTCGATACCCGTCTGATATTCCCCATGGGAAAATATGCAGCTCATCACAAAGACTTGGATTCCCATGCACATGTTATGGCTGGGGAGACTTCTCTTGACCGCCCGGCAAAATCCCGTTATGTATTAGCGTTCTCTGTTAGTGTTCCCTGTTAGTGTTCCCTTGAATGACTTCAGATCATCAACTTCACCACACATTTGACAAACATTTACACAACCATATTATAGAAAACTCCCTACAATTAACCTCAATAATACAAAGGACCATTTTCAATATTTCTTGAGAAATCTAACAATGTCTACCATCATGAATAATGGCTCTCAAAGCCAAGCGCCTCAAGGCCAATCTGGTAATTTGCAACAAAGTCAATCTGGTAGTTTCCAACAAGGCCGCCCAATGTCACTCTTCAAACCCGAAATGATGCGCAGCCTTCCAACGGGAGCTTTCACAGATGAGGACAAAGTGAAATGGGAAACCGGACTGAGGGGGCTTTGGTCCCAGATTGAAGAGAATTCTGCCGAATCACCACAACATATAGAGGCCAAACGCAAATTGGCCGAGTTCTCGAGGTCTCTCACGGGCAAGATGCAAGCTTATCGTGCACAGCAACAGCGGCAACAAGTACAGCAAGCACAGCAGCACCAGCCGCAGGGTCAACAAGTCCAGCAGAATCAACAAAGCCAACAGGCACAACACTCGCAACCCATTCCGCAGCCCTCAGCGGCTCCGTTGAACAATACGGCTCAGCAAAATTCAGCTTCGCAACAGCACGAGCACACCGCACTATCACAAGAGGCCCTAGCTAGTGGCCCCAATGCTGGAAGCGTTTCCCAGCAACAACCAAGACCTCAAATTCCTGGCCAGCCACAGGACAAGCTGTTACAACACATCAAAACATTTCCGTGGGCTGCTCCACCTAATTTGATCCCAAAATCTGCAGAATGGACCAAATGGTTGACGGAAGTCAAAAATAGATATGGCAAGGGATTGATGGCCATGGAGAAGGCGACTTCGCAACTGAAAGGCTTGGAAGAATATATTAAGAAGAAGAGAGAAGAGAGAATTGCAACGGAACAAGATGAAACGGATTACCAGACAAGAGTGGCAGATTTCAGGAATCAGCATTCTCAGGCCAAAAAAATTATTGAAGAAATCAGAGACAACCAGAAACGCTTCCAATCACAAAATTCTCAACATCAAGGACAGCAACAGCATCTTCAACAATCTCAAGCTTCCGGATCTGGGCCATCTGATCCAAATGTGAATGGAAATGTGGGTGGTATTGGAAGTAAGGGCAGTCATGGAGTTCAAGGCACCCACTTGAATCAAACACAAGGAGCACCTAGACCACCCATGAACTTGCAACAACCACCCAACCCAGCAATGCAAAATACCCAAACTGTCAATGCTGCTATTGAACAAGCTCGCAATCAACAGATGGGTGGTGTTAATCGGCCTTCTATGCCACAAGGACAACTACCACATGGCCCGCAAATACCTACTCCAACCGCACCTTCCCATCCAACTATGCCTCAATCTCAACCGGGGCAGGCGCCAGGTATCAAAACCGAACCAACGATTCCCGGCCCGATCAATACTGCCGTTACTCAAATGCAAAATAATCAGCCTCGTCCAGGTCAAACAAACTCTCCTCACTCTGCTATTCCTCAATCAGCAACCTCAACCAGTGCAGCAAACCATGGCCCTCCAAGAGCTCTTACTCATCAAGCAGCATTACAAACCGCGGCTCAAAGTTATTCTAGTGCAGGCGGTCAAGCGACAGGCACGCCTACGGTTATGGGACACTCGCATACTCATCCTAGCGCTATGCCGATCGCTATGCCGAAAGAACAACCAAACTCAAGCTCACAAAAACTTCCAATTCCAAAACATTTACCTGAAAGGGCCATCGCACCACCACAACCTGTACAAATGGGTCAACCACGTCCTTCGTATACCGGCGGCCCATCAGGAGCTGGTAATGGAGTTATGAATCAACCGGTTATATCAAAGGCCCCAGGTTACGTTTTGGATGGCGAAGGCGATCGCGTTTTGAGCAAGAAGAAATTGGATGAGCTTGTCAGACAAGTTACCGGTGGTGGAGAGAACGCTGCAAGTAATGGTTTGACTGCTGAAGTTGAAGAAGTAAGCTTAGTTTTTTTTTGCATGCAGAATTCCGATTTACCAGATCGATCTTATTACCCTTATCGCAACCACAAGATATCTTTATGTCTACCAAAGCCCAAGTCCTAAACTAACACGATCCAATAGTCCATTCTCACCGTCGCCGACAACTTTGTTGATCAAGTCCTTCAAGCCGCCTGCAAGAACGCCAAAGAACGTGGCTCTAAAATTCTGGAGATCCGTGATATTCAACTCACTCTTGAGCGCGGTTACAATATTCGTATTCCAGGTTACGCCAGTGACGAGATCCGAACTGTTCGTAAGATCGCTCCAAGCTCTGGATGGATTAATAAGATGAGCGCTGTTCAAGCTGCAAAGGTCACCGGTGGAAAGGGTAGTGATTAGGAAGGGAACGGCAATGGACATCGAAATGGATGAAGGGAGGGAGTTATGACAAATGGGGATAATTTGGGTCCTCGTTATCATGGAATGGGATGGATGATGAGTGGCGTTATAATTTCTCTTCTTCATTCGATGTGCATATGGCATGGACTGCTATTGGCGTTGGAGGGATGGGATTCTGATGTTGTTCATTGCATTATGTGCATTCTCTCTGGGCATGGTTCGGTTTCCGGTTCACACAGAAGTATTAATCAGTAATGGTACTTACATTCATAACACTTTATTGATCTTCATGACGGGTTTGCTGCGATATGATGTGTTCGTGATGGTGATATGATATTTGATTTGTTAATGCTCCCTCCTATTGTCCTGTTTACTCTCTACCTTGAATTCTTGTAAAATCTGGATTATCTTCTACAGCAACAACTATATAAGTACCTATACTTTCCAGCACAGGGACATGCGACCCAATCTCTATATTTCTATATACTCAATAACCACCACCCCCAAGCAATGAACAGTATCCCCACCAAATCACCTCACTCATTCACAATCTCCCTCGACTGACTAGATCTGATATCAACCCCCTCATCGTCGTCGATATCATATCATCATTTTGGACCCGAGTGATGTCCCCACATATATATGCCACATACGTGATTCAAAGGTGATCTCGTGCTCGTGCGCTCATTCGGTAGCTAGGTAGAGATTTGATATCGGGATGGGGATGAGGAGGGATAGATAGGGTAATGGAATAGATGATAGATGGATAGTATTATTGTGGGAATATTTGGGTTCATTTGCAGTATGTGATGATGTTGTGATGGAAGTAAATAATGTGATGTACGAGTAGATAGATGAATTCAAATACTCTTAATGTATGTTGTTTGAAGAACACTTTTTTTGGTGGTTCATGTTACATGTTACACTGCACACACACATGCTTTGCCAGCTTGCCGCAAGGCACCCGATGACTCGCGTTAGAATTGCGTTAAAGGTCACTAAAACTAACGTAATCATCTTAGAGCTTTGATGTTGTAAATGTAATCCGAGATCTGGAAAGACAGCTACAACAAGTCTTTGACAACTCAACAATATACCACACTTTTCAATCAACAACCCTTCCAAAACTTCTGTCATACCTCAGGCTCCAGTTAGAGACTTCGTGGACAAGAGAGCATTTGAAATACTCTTCGGATCATCCCACGCGACTCAAGGAAAGTAGCTTAGCTCTACCATCACTTTACATCACGAAAGGGCGACATCAATCTTCAAAAACACTCTTTGATCTGCAGTTATGCCTGGCAAAACACCATATAAAAACGGCGCAGATCCAGTTGAAAACGGTATTAACGGTACGAAGAAGGACGATGCGAAGAGCTCGTTGAAGGGTGGAAAGGGAAAGAAAACTAAGGAAGGCAATGAAGAGGAGATGACGGTCGTCGTACCACCATCAAAGGGCTCTAAATTATCGGCTCCTCCTCCGAAAGACGATGATGGAGATGTAGACATGGATGGATCTGCGGAGAGTGGAGAGGATGCAGGTGCTGTCAAGGTCGATCCAGTGGCCAAGGCTGTTGCAGGTATGTCTTGCATCACTCAATATTATATTCATTAATATTATCAACAAACAGAAGCTAACATATCAATCTTCTTCGCAGATATCAAGAGCAATTTTCCGTTATTAGAGAAAGCTGTTGCTTTGTTCGATGCTAGATACACACTCCGAGCCCTCAGGTCCATTTCCTCTATTCGGAAACAGCTTACGGCTGATATTCTGGCGCAAGTTATCACGGAAACCTACCCATCGTCAACTCAGCAAGCGAAGGCTTTTCTCGTCGCTCTCGATAGAGAGAATGCAGCATTTAATAAGGCTTCGTCTTCGGAAATGGAAATCGATTCTGATCCAAAATCTGCCAAAAATGGCGGGAAAAAGGAATCAAAAGATATCATTCCGGAGATCGACATATTCCTCAGCATCCTCGTTCAAATCTTTTACCTCGATAATAAGATTAATGACAAGGGATCTGCATTTTCCAAACATCTCACAACTGTCATTCACGGCCTCAATCGCCGAACTCTAGATTCTCTCTCCGCCCGCGTGTATTTCTATTGGTCTTTGTTCGCTGAGCAATTGGCACCACTTCCACCTTCTCCAGCTTCTCCAGTTGTGGCCCTTCGACCTGCTCTTCTTTCTGCTTTACGGACTGCTGTCTTGCGCAAAGATATCGATACTCAATCAACTGTCATCGTTCTTCTTTTACGGAACTATCTCTCAACCTCTCACATCACTCAAGCTGATCTCCTTATCTCACATACTAAATTCCCCGACAGTGCTTCAAACAACCAAGTTGCTAGATATTTGTACTACTTGGGACGTATCAGGGCTGTTCAATTGAGATATACTGAGGCTCATGAGCATTTGACAGCTGCTACTCGCAAAGCTCCTTCGAGTCCAAGTGCTGCAGGATTCTTACAAACTGCAACAAAGCTACTTCTTGTGGTTGAGTTGTTGATGGGAGATATTCCTGATCGTGCAACATTCAAAATCGCCAGTCTTGAACGTGCTCTACAACCTTATCTTAACCTCGTACAAGCAGTCCGAGTAGGATTGATTGCAGAGTTCGAGGCAGTAATTACTCAACATGCGGAGACTTTCAGACGTGATGGTACTTATACTTTGATACTTCGTCTACGACAAAACGTCATTAAAACTGGTATTCGAATGATGTCCTTGTCTTACTCCAGAATTTCCCTTCGAGATATCTGCATACGCTTGAAGCTTAACAGTGAGGAATCTGCAGAATACATTGTTGCAAAGGCAATTCGTGATGGTGTCATTGAGGCAACTTTGGATCGTGAGAAGGGATTCATGAAGAGTAAGGAGGTTGGGGATGTGTATGCTACCAGAGAGCCTGGTGAGGCATTCCATGATCGTATTCGTGCTTGTCTTGCTCTTCATGATGAGAGTGTTAAGGTATATTTTAATTTCTTATTTTACACCAGCGTCGAATATATGCTAACCATATGACAACAGGCAATGAGATTCCCAATGAATCAACATCGATTGGAACTGAAGAATGCTCAAGAAGCACGAGAACGCGAACGTGAAATGGCAAAGGAGATTCAAGATGGTGATTTGGATGAAGATGATCTGGGGGGAGACTTCGAAGGCATGTAAGATGGATGGAATTCGTGAAGTGGAAGTGGAATGGAGGGGAAAGGAAGACTTTCAAACATGTATACAAATTTGGTTGGGTGCGAATGCGAATGCAAATGCAAATGCAATTGTACTAGCACGGGACCGTGAAGGGAGGGGGAAAGTTTGGTTTGGTGGGCTGAATAACCTTGACTTGTTTTGCTACATTACCTATCTTCCCAACATGGGATTTCTTTCGTTGAATTGCAAAAACTACCTACCTACGACGTACAAAATGGTTCGGTCGGGTAGTTGGAGCTTGATCTGATAGATGGAAATCCCAATGCTACATTAGTTTACTTTTTTTACTTATCATACCTTACATTACATTACATTACCTGGCCTTATTTTACTAGTACCTGAACTTGCCTTACTTTACATTACTTTGGCTTCTGGAGTACCTAGTACTTGCATGTGATGTGATGCGATGTGATGAGATGTGATGCCATGCCATTTGATGCAATGCACGATATAGTAATGTATAGTATGTGTGTATGTATGTATGTATGTAGGCGCCAGCCAGATGTAATGTGTTTGTATGTTTATGATGTTTGTTTTTCTATTAATTTTTAAGTTTTTGTCAATTATAAAAGTTTTGATGTTGTCTTTGATTTTCGATAAGTATCAATGCGCACCAATTGTATATATAGTATCGTTGGTAGCCTTGCATGATTTGGTACAGAGCCTTGTCGAGACTCGAGAGCCATGACGCGATAATGTAAACAGCTTCATTCTCAGCGCGACAGTGATGAATTGAAGGAAATAATTCACCCTTTTGTGCTGAACTTTATGAGGAAAAACATTTCTGGCATAAGTACGGCAGAAAGGTTAAATTCCTACTCTTTACGTCATCAACTCGACGAAGTTGCCCTTAGACTGGAAAATTCGCACTTTACAAATATCTAGTACATCCACGAACGAACGAAGCATTAATTGCTGAACTTGAACTGAAATTGTAAATAAACTATCAGAACTGCATTCTTGACGAGAATATATGCAGGAATTTTTACGATACTCTATTACAAATATACTGATTTATTTGCAAGTACTGCGACAGAGAGGAATCCTTCTATCGCACTTTACAATCACCACAACTAAGTCGCGATTGCAAATCCAAAACGCAATTCGCAGAATACGCTGTCAATTGGCATTTTGGTAGTAAACTCTACTACCATACATTACAAAACTATCAAGCCCCCATCTAAATTACAACTACGAGACAAGGCACAATGCCACCGCGAAATTTACGAAATCGTGAACGCCGAGCGAGCTCGCGCGATGCACATGCAGATATACATGCAAACGCGAATGATTCCACCGATCCAATAACGGTCCAGACTCCAACTACAACTACCACTACAACAAACGTTGGTTCAAATGGGGTTGAGGTTGAGGGGTCGATGAGAACCAGTATTGGAGAGAAGAGGCAGAGAGGATTGGCCGAATTCGGAATTACCAGGAGTCCGCATGCGCAGGGAAAGAAGAAGAGGGAACCGGAAGTTGACTTTGACGAAGATGAGGAGGCTAAAAATGGCATGAATGGTGGAAATGTTATGTACGACACTACAATTGGCAGCGTAAATCAGACACAAAAAGAAGAACACACCCACACATCAAAACGCAAAAAATTAAGCACAACTAGTCGAGTTAATGGATCGATTACAGTTGCGGCTGCGGATCGAGCAGAACCGATTGGTAGGGAAATACCGAGGGAAAGAACGAGGGAAAGAAATACCACCGTCAGTATGGAAAACTCGTTGCCGTCGCCTCCAATTGAAGAATCTGAGGGAGATGATGATGTGATTGAAGTTGATTGGCGATCGGGAGTTGGAATAGGGGGAAGTTCTTCACCCTCTGGATCGAAGGGACAGATGGCGAGGAGGGCAAGGGGAGTAAGTTCGGGGTGTGCCAATGGTGCAAATGGTACAAAGGAGAGTGAGGATGATAAAGAGAAGGAGAGGAATATCGATGAGGTTGTTTTTGGAGAGCTCTGTTTCAAGACTTGGTATTCGAGTTATTATTCCCGGGAAATCATTGGGAATGGGAACCTTGACAACAATTCACAAAGTATTAGTCAAGGAAGTGGAAAGAGTACTAAGAGTGGAAAGAGTGGGAAGAGTACTAAAAGTGGAAAAAGTACTAAAGGATGTAAAGAGAGGGATGCGAGGGGATCGCAGATTGATACACTGTTTGTCTGTAACTGGTGTTTTGGATATACTATCAATAAAGAGGAGATGATCAGACATAGGGCGTGTTGTGCACGAAGGGGAAGTGTTCCTGGCAATAAAGTTTATCATCACGAAGCTCATGAAGGTCATGGACTGCAGAGGTGGAGTGTGTGGGAGGTAGATGGGGAGGTTGAGAGTGTAAGTTTTTCTTTCTTTTCTTACTGTTTTAGTCTGTTCTATACTATATTCATAAGGATCTTTGCTAACGTGACTTCATCAAACAGACTTTCTGTCAATCCCTCTCCCTCTTCGGTAAACTTTTTCTCGACAACAAATCCGTTTTCTATGATGTCCAATCCTTCAACTATTTCCTCCTCGTCCATACTGATGTAGGTACATCAGAATCACACATCCTAGGCTTCTTCTCGAAGGAAAAAATGTCCTGGGATAATAATAATCTCGCTTGCATTCTCGTTTTCCCTCCTTGGCAAAAGAGAGGCCTAGGCAGCTTATTGATAGGCGTCAGTTACGAGATTAGTAGGAGAGAGGGTTTAATTGGCGGCCCGGAGAAACCAATTAGTGATTTGGGAAAGAAGGGGTATGGGAGATATTGGGCGGGTGAAGTAGCAAGATATCTCCTAGAGTTGGGGGAAGATGATGATGCCGAGGAGGAGAAGGAGGAAGAAGAGGAGGAGGAGGAAGAGGTAGTAGTGGTTAAAGAAGTGGAAAAGAAAACTCAAGCGAAGAAAGCTTCGGGGAAGGGAATGGGGAAGGGATGGAGAAAGGGTATGAAGGGGGTGGGTATGCAATCTTCATCTCTTTCTCAATCAACCTCAGCGCCTGTCCCTGTGAAATCGACTTCAACGCCAAAGCCAACAACTAAATCGGTAATGAAACTCCCTGCTACTCCTCCAATGGAAAACAACTATGGTATAACGACGGTCGAAGCTATTAGTAAAAGCACATGGATAGCAGTAGAAGACATACTGGGAGTACTGAGGAGCATGGGTGTTTTGGAAATGGCAGAGGGAGGAAGAAAAGGTGGAAAAAGTGAAGATAAAGGAAAAAGTGCGGAGAGGGGGGATAACATGAAAGGATATAGAGGCAAAGTTAAAGTGGACAAGGAGATGATTCGTCGCTGGGTGAAAATGGAAGGTTTGAGTCTAGAAAGATGTATTTGCAAAACGGGGTTCAAAGATTTATATGGATATCCGGGATGGGGGTGGGGGTATGATGGGTGGGGGTATGATAAGAGAAGGATTCATAGGCGTACACGAGAGGGAGAGAATGAGAAAGAGAAGGAGAGTTTGGTGGAGAGTATTGAGGAGGGGGAGGAGGAGGAGGGGGAGGATGGGGAGGAGTTGAATAGTATTATTGTTGGGTGATTTTAGCGGGGGGTTTATGGGTTGGGTTGTTTGTACTTGTTTTTTTATTATTGGGTTTTCGGTCGGTTGGTCGGTTGGCTGCTTAGCTGGTTGGGAGGTGTTAACTTATATACCATCAGCATGTCTGAAGGTGTTTTTGGGATTTTTGGATTTTTGGAATTATTGAGTTGAGTTTATTTGATTTGTATCGAATCGAATGGAATGGAATTGTATCTATCGTGTTATTGCATTGTTTTGTTGTGTTGTTTATAAAGTACGAGTAGAGTATAAAATACAGCGTACAATGTACTCGAGTATAGCGTGTAGAGTTTTGAAAGTTATTGTGTGGTGTGTGATGTGCAGTGTGTGGTGTGTGATTTGTGATGTGTATGTAGTGTGTGGTGTGCGGTGTGTGGTGTTTCGGTTTCAGAGGATAGTGTGTACAGTGAGTGATTGTTGGGTTGTGGGGTTTTTGGGCTGTGGGGTTTGGAGGGAGGGGAAAGGAGAGGAGAGGAGGGGGATATGGGAGGATAGAGGAGGGAGGAGGGGGGAGAGAGGTAGGGGAGGTGAGGAGATAAGGGGAGGGAATATGGGTACTGGGTTGGGAGTGGGAGTGTTAGTGGAAGTGGTGGTTTGTATGTTTGTGCTGAGAGTTTAATTTAAAGGAATGGTGGAAGGGGTGGAGGGGATGGAGAGGATGGAGGGGGGCTTGGATATTGTATGGAGGGATGGATGGATGGAGGGATGGATGGAAGGATGGATGGAGTGGAGGGATGAATGGATGGAGATTTCTGATCAGACTCGGATCAAATCTGGTGTGAATGAGTATGAGTTGAATTTAAATGAGAGAAATATGGGAAAGAAGAGAGAGGAGAGAGGGGAAAGAGAAAAGAGAGGGGGGATGAGAGAAGAGGAAAGAGAGAGAGATGGGGAGATATATCTAAATGATATCTAAATTGAGCTTCAATAATTATGAATACTGTTATATAATGGTTGGGAGTAGTATAGTATGTTATGATGAGATGAGATGAGATGAAACTATAGTACGTATTATAGTAATTTGATATTTTTATTTTTATTCTTATTCTTATTCTTATTCGAGTAAAGTGTAAAATGTAAAATGTAAAATATAAAATATAAAGTATCAAGTAATTCCTTATACTCGAGTATTAGGAGAACTACTCGAGTAAATAGAGCAGTTTGATATCTAATCTCATTTGGAGATTTAAATCTAAATCTAAATCTATTTCTCAAAACTTAAAATTTCAAGAGAATCTAAATATTTGATAATTTGAATATGCATTATATGAGTACTATATGATATTGTTCTCTCAATTGATTTATATAGGGTGTAGGGAGTTGGGAAGGTTGGGAGGGAAGTAGATCAGATCAGCTGATTACGCGCTATGGTGACGTCATATGTACTACTGTTACTGTATGTATACTGTGCGGGATTATATGACTGCTCTTACAAACTCTTCATATTCATATACAGGGAAAGGAACATTGATTTGATCGGTTACATCAATTGATTTCCCTATCGAATTGTCGAATCGTCAAATCTTTGAGGATAATTAAATTATTATGCTCACGAGACGTATTATCTGTGGCGCGACTTCGGTTTCGCAGTGTGTGATTTTGGCTCCGCGTGGCACTCCAAGACGTGATACTCTGGCATGTGTATCAATGAGGTTGAGGTGGTATCATGATGATAGGGTTGGTCATGATAATGGGAGATCAAAATCTAAAGGGGAAATTTCAGCTCGAGGAAAGGGTGTAATGGGGGAGATGGGAAAAGGCGGAGAGGTTGAGGGGGTAAATGGGGTGAAAGCGGGAAAGGAAGTGCAAGCTTGTGCGATGAATGGAGGGAATGGAAAACCGGTGATGGTAGCTGAGGGGGGAGAGAAGATGGAGAAGGTAGAGAAGAAAAGGAAAACAATGGCGGAAATGGATGAGGAATTGAAGGCGAAGATGGAGGGGAGAGAGGGGGCAGCGGGGATTTCGTATGAAGGGGGGAAACCGGTTACGGATGGGTTTGGGAGGGGTGTGAGGAGTAATATGTTTAGGGTTATTTGAGGGGTAGGGATCGGGATAGGGATTGGGATGGAAAGGCGGTAATAGAAAAGAGGTGGTTAGAAGATCAGGATACGAGGACTAGTGAGGTTGCGTATGGGAGCATAGTGTTGGAGAAACTGGTGGTTGGGTTGATTAATAAATCAGAGAGTCGAATTTGTCCATGGATGCTAAATCTATTAAATGGCATACCGAGTTCGAGTTGTAGGATATATCAACTTGTAGGGCATAAGACACTCTTCATTTCCCCAGTGGTAAACGCTCAAAAACCCCCAGTGGTAAATGGCATAGTCTAATGCTTTAGGTGAATATGAAAGATCATAATACGTCTATATTACATTTCCTCAACCCATGATATAGGATAGGATACATCAAGTCAGTATTTTGAATATCTCATATCATTTTCAATAATGTAAATCTCTCTAAATTATTTACTTGGAAGAAATATATGTCGATATACTTATTTTAAAGTGTTCAGGATAAGGTCAGAATATATCATCAAAACTAGCTTTTGGATGTGTCAACCGATACGCAGCAATGGGATTCATTTTTTGACAGCAAGAGATGAGATGAGATGATATGAAATCTCGATTCTGGATTCTTTTGAGGAGAGTCAAGAGTTTACGCAGTAGTGCGCGTCATTTGCGGGTGTATTTCTTCTCTTTCCACTGGATATAAGACTTACAAAATGAAAACTAAACACAATGAAATGATACTCATCTATCTTTATAGTTCCGTAAGTATTTTGGTTCAAATGCAAATATATGTAAGCCTGACATCTCACAACGGAACAAGAACGATAATGGAAACTAATATGACATGGATAGATAGCTATGTACTTTAGTCGGAGAAGGAATCGTATTCAATATAATTTGGATGATTTATGTAAAGGAACGAGAAGGATAAATGCAGAGACAGATCCTTCATAAAATACAAGTAAATAGAAACGACTTTGTTTATATTACTCATATTACTTCTACTAAAAGAGTGAATAAATTTGATCTTGGGAAAGCAAAGAATGAGGTTACGAATCCATCTCATAAATCAGAAATAAGATGAACGACGAATAGAACTCAGAGGCACTTATGAAGGAACAGGAGCTTCTGAAAGGAAGCGAGATTAAGAAAAAGAAAATTGCAAAATAGGAGAAAGGCTTAATTCAGAAACGTTGACAGTGTATAAGATATCATGCAAGCAGACAATTCGATATTCCAGAGAAATTCGAGTGATTGTACGACTGTACGCTCTTGGAGAATGAAATCTTTCATCACAAGGACTCAAATGAGAAGGGGGTTGATTTAGACGAGGCTAATGATCTGTTAAAGGAAAGGGCTGGTTTGGACGATTAGAATGTGGTAGATAAGTCAAATGTGGGAGTCAAGTTGGTTTATGTATGATATTGCAGCATTGCTTTACCTATTAGTGCTTTTACAATTTCCGCAGGTGTGCCAACAAGTATGCTATATTACCGAAACTTTGTCCCACTCTAGGAAATGACAAAACTGTATTCAATCAGGGGAAGTCATTCCAAGGACTCACGAGGGCACGAAAATTGCAGGCGGTATGGCAGAAGAAGAATATATGGGTAACACGACTGAAGATGATAATGACAGCGACAAAGCTAAGGAGGACAGGATGATCAATGTCCTGAGATTAATGTCTTCCTCCATTCTTAAAAGAGGAATAATTTACCGGTTCTTTTGCCATTGTTTGAGAGTGAGTATTGATGAAGCTCGAGATGTCGAGGATATAGTAACCTTAGAGGATTTTTTGGGGATTGGGGCCATATTTATGTGATGTGAATAATGGTGGGTGGTAGAGAGTGCGAAATGATTATTACTGTCAAAGCAGATATGGCCAAGGGGTAAACGGATTACAATTTTGTATTTGGTGGATAAAGCGGGTCATAAGCTAGAGGAAGACAGCTGGCTCATACTGAGCTGGACTGTCTCCATTTCATCACCTGTGACCTGTAATTATCACGGAAGTGTGGAACTCGAATTGGCCGCAGGGTATCATTCTTATAAACAGAAAATTCAGTAGTGACAAGTCAGGAAGTCTACATCGTATTGTGGGGTCAAGTTTGGAATGATGAAGTAGAGTTAGCATGAGTGTTGATATGGTATTTCTGGGTTTTTGTGAATAGGGGGTGTGGATAGGTGATTACCGAGATTTGTAGATGGTGATTATGATGGTGTTGGGCTGTTTAGGGGTGTATGGGATGGGATGGGATGGATTGGTTTGGGACGAAGGCCATATAGCATAGAATTCAAATAGTACTACCAAAGTTCAGTATTTTCTCCCCCAAAAGATAATTGAGATCGCTGTGGAATGGAAGGGATTTGACAAGTTAGGGTCGAAGGGTAGCTATGCGAGGGTAAGGTGATATTGAGCTCATGGAGATCTCAGCGATATAGCTACAATATTCTTTTCCGATATCATGAGCGGAGTTAACATGCTGTGGACTTATCTTTACAATGATCATCCATGGCTTAGAACTTAGAATGAGGGTAAGGTAAATCTGATTCTGTTGTAGCTTGTTTATTTAAGCTAGGTTTTGAGGTCTTTCTGTAATGGGTGGCACGGTATTGTTTATGGGTATTTATGTTTTTATATGAAGGGAATCTGGGGAAACCGCAATTGTGGAAAATTGCCCACTACCAAGATCACCAATTACTCGGTTACCCTTCGTATACAAATATGAAAGGAGCCTCCACGAATTATATGGATTAAGTAGTGGTTTAGACTGTCATCTAATGAGACTAGACCTTGGTCTTCACCTGGTAATGCTATACGATCTTAACTCATGACATTATTTACCCATCTCACCCAAAGTACGGTATTCCAGATGATGGTTGTATAAGATTACGTAGAAATCTTGTGCACAAGACTTGAGGCGAAGCTTTTTCATACCTTCTTATAATTCTTTAACAAAAGTACTGTTGCATATCTCAAAATCATTATGACATCATGCAAAGCCATATTATTTCAATCTCTGGGTTATAAAAAGTGGGCCGGGTTATTGTAGTTAGAGAGAAGAAGTATTGTTGCACATCTTATATGAGCCAGGATGTCATTCCAAGTATTTTTGAAGTTCGAGTATACCTTGTTGATGTCATGTAAGAAATTCAAGTGAAGACTTCAGGATGATGAACAGCTGTATACAAACTGGAGGTGGCTGTTGTTGCATATCACAATACTGGTGATGATGTCTTCATGAGTGTGGTAATTTCTGTGTTTGTTATGGTAGAGATTTGAAACTCAAGTGGGAGATCAGATAAACACTTGCTACACATATTCTTCTCAATCAAAGAGACTAGGAGAGTATTGTTGTATATCATAGTATAGCTATGACGTCTTCTTTTATAGTTTTGAGGGAACTAGTTTCTAGAATTCGCAGGATATTGAGCTCATATTAAACTCATATTAAAAGTCTTAAGTAGTAGCTGAATGTAAGTATGTGTCACATGCCTCTTGAGATTAAATTAAGGAGAATAGGAAAGTGTTGTTGCATCTCTCATGACATTATCTTTTCTTGATCCTCTCTCTCTCCTCACATCACTGCGTCATGTAGCTATAGCTATCCAATTAGGATCACCAATAATAATCAATCATAGGTTCTCATGCAGTGGTATCTTACAGGTGGGAAGGCAGATAAGAATGTCATGATCCAAATAAAGAGAGTGCAAAAGTATTGTTGCATATCTCATTCTCTTGATGACGTACTTTCTTGTCTTTAAGAACTTCTCCAGTTGATGTCATGGAGTCTTGAGGTCTGGGTTATCTCATCCTCACAAATAATGAGCTTCAAATTGAGATTTGGAGCAGCACATTTGTCTAGGACATACAGCACAGCTTTTTCCAGATCAAAATGACTGAAAGGGTGTTATTGTATTTCTGATTTCAGAATTGTATCTTGTGTCCTGCCTCTGTCTGAATTATCAAACAATGTTGATTATCCCAGCTCTACCAAAAGAACCAAGACATAATCCTCTCTCCTTACAAGCTATTCTCATCAAGGTGATTCAAGGTAAGTTATACAATCCAGGTTATTATATAAACCAAACTGTTTCTTCCAATCAATGATACAAAAGGTATTGTTGCACATCGCAGTTTAGGCAGCAGTATTGATCCAAGCTCTTTGATTCCATTATCGAGCTTCAGACCAAAATTCAAAGATAATGTCCACCAATTATAGCCATTGATTTTCATCAGGAAGTTTTGATTGTACATTTCAAACTAGACAGTGGCAGTCAACTACTGGCCAGACATCAGTTCGTTGCATTTTGTTATCATACTTTGGAGACTGGAGTATACTTCATATTTCGTGTTTACCAATCACAGCCAGTCTTTCTCTATAAGGACTTTTTGGTTGCATATCTGTGCAAGGATCAGATTTCTTACTTCTCGCTTAAATTTACCCAGAGCTTTTGTGGTCCATGTTAGTGGAATTAGCCGAACAGGTACCTCAACATTCTAGAGATATTTTTAAAACTTACTGATATGACAGGAAAAGAAGTAAGGTACAGGTTTGATGTATTGGAATATCAATTAGTTGCATGTGGTTTGGAAAAAATATGATACTTTTCTATACAATGGATGAAATCTTTAGCTTTTCTACAGCTGCCATGACAACCCGACAGCACCAATAACACCATGTTTGTGATATCACCTGGAGTACAGCATCACTCTTAAGAATTTCATCAATGTACCCTGTCCATTGACTGACATAAAAGAAAAATCTTTCGATGCATCAATTATAAGTAGAGCAATTTAGATATACAAGTTATTCAAAATTCTTTATATTATTAAAAAAGATGATCATAAGCTTTGATCATTGTAATATAAGACCTCAAAGAATGCTAGCTACCTATCACAGACAAGGAAATGTTCTTACTGTATTTTTCAACTCTAGGCAGAGGTCTGTGATATTCATATTCTTCTGGTCAAAAGATCAGACGGGTGTTGTTACCGATCACATTGACCTGAAAAGCTATGCTCCA